AAATTAACTTCCCAGAGAAGTGGAATCTCAACCGTAAGAACTTTAACCATTCCCTCTTAGTGTAATTTTAGGGTCGTTCCTAGCTTCTTTTTGTTGCAGTTGTTGCAGTCGCTCTTTAGAGTGCACCTGATATTAAAGAGTGGATATTTAAGGTTCTACAGGTCTCCACCAATTATTCAAAGACCTGAAAGCCATTGCGATCGAACTGGGAGGGTATCGGAGGATTTACCATGGTAATCTCTTTACTGATTTGAGTGTTCCTCTTCTTATTTTACCTACTTTTTTTCCTCTAAAAAAGATAAGTTTTTACAAGTGTAGGTCTTGACAAAAAACCCTAGTCCCGAGTTTGGGCTCCTATCCTTTTGTCTGGGGTATACGGTTATCAAAATATCCAGTAACTACTTATTGAAGCCCCGCATGAGGGTACTGGCAAGTTCCCTGTTGTACCACCCCTTTCTAGGACCGCCAAACCGAAGAGAACTCCTGAAAAGAATACATAACGCTCTACGACTGATGGAAACATTTCTCGGGTCAGTCCCCAGGCCGCTCGGTATGGTTTTATCTAGGGGTTGGTGCATCCTGACCCTATCATGGTCGACTCCAATGAGGAAGATTCTTACCCTATCGCCATACTCGAGGAGGAAGTGACATGTTTAATCCCCGAGGAGGGATTGGCTCTTGGGCTGTGTGTAACGACCCAACCGTTCGTTTTGTATATTTGAGCCTTGTTCCCCTATTTAATACTCCCCCGCATGTGTATTTATTATTATATGACTTACGGATATGGTTGGTTTTATTTCGGAAAGATTTTTGGATTGAATTGGAACACTTAGTTCTTAGTTTGGAAGATTAAGTTGGAAGTGTTAACCAAGTTTGACTTTTATGTATTTTACTTCGGAGTAGAGTTTTAATAGTTTCATTAGGTCCAGATGGTGATTTTGGACTTAGGCGTATGCACGGATTTGAATTTGGAGGTTCCTAGGTTGATTTGGCTCTAATTAGGGAGAGTTGAAAAATTGAAGGTTTAGAAGTTCTTAGGTTTGACCCATAGTTCACTTTGCGGTTATTGATGTTCGTTTGGGATTCTGAGCCTTAGAATAGGTTTGTATGGTGATTTATGACTTGTGTGTAAAATTTGATGGCAATTCGAGTTGTTTAGACGTGTTCGGCATAAGTTTGGAATTCAGAAATTTGAATTACTTCATTAAGCTTGAATTGAGGTATGATTCATAGTTTTGATGTTATTTTGTGTGATTTGGGACCTCGAGCAAATCTATGTTGTGTTTTAGGACTTGTTGATTTCTTTGGATGGGGCCCGAGGGGCCTCGGGTGTGTTTCAGATATGTTTTAGACTATTTCTCTCATGTTAGGAGTTGTTGGTTTTCTAGTGCTGGTGCCTTAATAGCGGACGTGAATAGCAAAAAATTCTAGAAACCAAACCACGCGAAGGCGAGGGTATGGGGGGATTTGTCCTTCGCGAATGCGGCAGCCCTCATGCTGGTAGATAGGTCTTCATCACAAACGCGACCGGTGGATCATGAATGCGAAGTCTTGGGAGAGATAACCTTCGCGAATGCGATGGCCAGTTAGCCGATGACCTTCGCAAAGACGATAGGTGCTTGGAGAACGTGAAGAGAACCTAACGCCGAGGTATACTAGGGCTAAAAATGAGATTCAAACACTTTTCACCATTTTTGAGACCTAGATCGCGGATTGTGGAGAATTTTGAGAGGAGTTTTATCCCAACTTCATAGGTTAGCAACTTTAACTTATTTTTGATTTATTTCTATGATTCTTCAGAGATTTTTATACCTAAATCTAGTACTTTTAAGTGTAGAAATTGGGATTTTAGGAAAAAACTTATGATGAATTATTTTGGGGATTTGAACCTCGATTTATGGTCCAATCTTGATATAAACCACATATTTGGATTTGGGGGAGAATGAATAAATGGGAATTGGTTGACATGTGGGCCCAGGTTGACTTTTTGTTGACTTTCCCAAATATGTTAAAGACCGATCCTTTTTTATACTAGGATAGTTTCTAAAGTCTATTTTGACTTATTTGAGTTAATTAGCTAGATCCGAGTAGTTTGGAAGCTTTTGCTAAAGGAAAGGCGGTATTGGAGGGTTAATTTAGGCTGCCAAGAGGTAAGTATCTTGGTTAATATTAATTTGAGGAAATTAGAATATAATTTATCTATTTACTACGTGTTATATGCGTTGTGGGCGGCGTATATGCAAGATGACAAGTATATATGCGTTTGCTATAGGTTAAGCATGTGGATAGAACTAGTTTACGTACATCTTGTTGCTTCATGTATACTTTAAATAGATTGTGTGATTCATTGGCTATTCCTATTCATGTTTAGTAGTCGTGTTGAGCTTGTTGTGATATTGGGTAGTAGAACGATTAAAATATTGATTTGGCTATTGGTACAAAGTGATGACTATTTTTCATGTGGCAAGTTATGTTCAATCACTCTTCTTGATATTATTTGTGCTTTCCACCTTATCGGATACTGCTTTACATGTTTATGCTTGGTAATGAAGAGTGAATTGTACGACGGGTGTTTTCGTGCTTGTGAGGAGAGTAATTGTGCACGAAAGATATTTATGTGCTTCTTTATATTATTATTATTGCACGGAGAGTGTTTTCCGTTGTGAGGAAGTGTGAATATGCACAAAGGGTATTTTCATACTTGTGAAGATAAGAGTAAAAGTATGAAGGGTGATGTTGTGACATTCGATTGTTATCTCTTATTCCTTGCTTTTACTATACTGATTGAGAGCTTGGCTATGTTTTTTCATGGTTGTATTGCAAAATTACTAGGACTTGAATTATTATGAAAGGCTTGTTTGGTGTTATTTTGAGGTTATTGTCATTATATTCCTTAGTTACTCCTTTCCTTTTTTCGCGTATTATTTCTTCTTGCTATTACATTTGTTATCTCACTTGTTACCTATTTTGTTTTCTTACTTACTATTTTTCTTGTTCTCTTAATTGTTATATCTCTCGTTACTTTCTCGTTACTTAACTGCACAGGTTTATTGAAGGTGTCTTCTCTCATCCTTGTTACTACCTCGTCGGGGTTAGGCTTGACACTTATAGAGTGCATTGGGTCGGCTATAGTCATACTACACTTCTGTACTTCTTGTGTAGATTTTGGCATCAGACCTAGTAGCACACAGAGGACGGACCACCTCCTTTGGTTGTGGAGACTTGAGGTAGTGCTGCACTCTCGTTCGCAAGCCTTGATGTCTCCCATCTTTAGACTTTCTACTATTTATTCGTATGAAATAGTGTATTTATTAATACAGATAAATTGTATTTAGTAACTCTATAAAAGTACTCAGTGACTCCAGTTCTAGGAAGTAATAAACAGTTGTTGGTTTAGTTGTGTTTTACATTACCGAGCTTTGCCCTTTATTTATGATTTCATGTTATTTTTATGCCTAATTTTATTCCTTTATTTTCTCATATGTGTTGGTTTGCCTAGCAAGAAGCGTGAGGCGTCATCACGACTCCTTGATTGAAATTTTGGATTGTGACAATTATCGATAGGATATTTGTAGTCGAGGTGGAGTATGGTTGTTTCGAGCTTCAAGCCTGCATGGTAGGAGTACAGTTAGTGGAAGAACGAAATTTTTGCTAGTTGGAACTGCTTCAGCGTAACGGACGGTGGCCATGATCTCAAACGAGATCCAATTATGGTTGAGTACGTGTTCGAGAGTGTTTGACCTGCTCCTCCAATTGCTTTTGCTTCGGAATAAAGGGATGGTTCCGGTCACAACTCCCTTGTGCCCAAATCTTGATTCCGAACTTCAACCACCACGTGGCGTCTCTTTGCCGTGCTATGTGGCGAGGCGGAATTCCACCAATATATCAGCAACTACTTAGTAGTTTTACAATGATATATCTCCTTATCTCACAAGAAAATAGTGTCACATGGAAGTTTCAACCGTCGAAAATATGCATATAGTTCTATTATTAATTCATCAACAAGAGTAGGTATTTAATACACTTGTAAGTAGTTGCATTTTAATATTTTGAAAAGTTCATTTCAACTTCCACTAATTTATACTCCCTCCGTTTCAGTGTATGTAAACCTATTTCCTTTTTGGTCCGTTCCAAAAAAAATGACCCCTTTCTAAATTTGGAAGTAATTTAGCTTAAACTTTCAATTATGCCCTTGATGATAAACTTTTAAAACTACACAAATATTATGTACCCCTTTCTGACATGTTTAGGACCACAAATTCCAAAAGTTTTTATTTTTTCTTAAACTCCGTGCCTAGTCAAACATGTTCACATAGATTGGAACAGAGGGAGTAATAGTCTACAACTTATCACAATTCGTTCATCTTCAATAACATGTATTCTTATTCTTATCTTCTTTCTTCACCAATATTAAAATAATTCTCTTATTAATTGTGTTATTTGAAATCAATTTCACTTCACCATAACTCAATACTACATTTTTACATTAAGAGAAGTTCAAAATCTTCGAAACAGTATAGTCATGGTAAAAACTTACACATCAAAACAATAAATACATTTGACATGTGTTCACACATACATTTGTTTTTACTTAATTACCCATAGTTATTTATTTTCACCTTATTAAAAATCTTACCCACTGTAAGTTATCTAGTTTGAAAGATTACACGTAAATTTCTTCACTTCTTTTTAAGATTATAAATTCAATTTAATGAAAGGTTACCAGTAAATATTTTTTGAATGACCTAATATAAAAAATCTCTTTATTTACTTATCAACCAAGTAACCGGAAGATGGAAAAATTTAGGAGTATTAAACAAAGTAGGGGACGTAACCGTAGAGACGACTAGGCCTTTTCTTCGTTTTTTCCTTTATGCAGAGTCTCCTCTCTCGAAAAAACCAAAAATGTCACCTCTGTCCATACCCCACATATTCTATGGTATTTTAAATAGTTGTACGCATGACCTCAAAAGAACACAACTAAAAAGAGTATACCAAACATGGACTGCAGAAGATTTGAAATTACACTAATATCAGCAAGTGATCTTGAAGATGTTCGAAAGCTATTCAAGATGAAAGTCCACGCTAGGGTTTCCATAGGAAGCAACCCCAACACCGAAAAAAGAACGCCGACGGACAAACACGGCGAGATAAATCCGGCGTGGAACTTTAGCATGAAGTATACAATATCCGAGTCAATGATACAGTACCCTAATGATATGCTAGTTATAAAGTTATATTGCAAGAGGAAGCTCGGGGATCGGTATATTGGAGAAGTGCATACTTCAATGAAGGAGCTTTATGAATATGCATACCCTAATGGAGGCAGTGCTGTAATGAATTATCCTGTACAAAAAGGCTCTGCTCAATCTCAAGGTGTTTTGAGGTTTTCTTATAGGTTTGGAGAAAAAGTTACCGTTGATAAGTTAGTTATGGCTGAGAGCGTTGCTGGTTGGAGTATGTGCTAAGTTCTGAAAAAAAAAGAAGAGAGAGTTTAATTTCCATGTGAAATTATTAATGACTTGATTTTCTCTGCCTATTCTGTGGGTCAATAGTCTTTTTGCGTTTTAATTTTCGGATTGTTTAGATCACCGTATAATTGAAATAGTTTACTAATTTTCGGATTTTGGGATGTTCTACAAACATTAGCAGATAATTTACTAATTTTGTTTGTTCAACTAGTATTGTAGCTTGTTCTACTAGTATTGTAGATTTTGTTCTAAAATCTTTGATTAATGGAGGAAGAAATTTTACCATCTACCGTACCCTTAGGTAAAGATAATTCTATTGCTTGACCCCATACTTCGTATCGAAAAAGAAATACCGTCAGCCACTGAAAAGTTCACCAAATGACCCTGGTGAATATTTATGATTTAGAGTCAATGGACTTGAAATGAAACAATATAATATACTCATTCGGACATATCAAGTGAATATTTTTTACTGCGATTTTTTTATATGTCTTTTAATTAAATATTCTGACATATAGTACTTTTATATAATTTCAAATAAATTTGATTTTAAAAACAATTAAAGATTCTATACGATCAAAATTAAGAAATTTTAACTCTCGAAATTCAAACTATGACAGATGGAGTATCATATACTATTACTTTGAAATTTTATTATATGCTTATACAGTATGGTATGAGTTAGTAAAAGCAGTGGTGATTAATTTAATAAATTTTATTAGGGAAAAGGCTTCTAGGATTTTGTTACTCAATACACCTTAGAAAGGGGTGAATGAGCAATATATGGATAAAGATGGATGTAGACTTTGCTCTGGTTGGGTGTGTTTGGTACATATAAAAGAAGAATCTTTGGCCCGTCAGCTGTTTAATGTATAGAAATTCATTACTTATTTTTCATTAATATATACCTATACTAGTTGGTGAATATCTTATATTTCTTCAGTCCAGCGCAGACACACTTATCTTGAGATTCTTTTTAATTGAGATTACTAAGTTTGTAGTCAAGTTAGTTAGTTACGCTTTGAGTTGTCTTATCTTGATTCGCTGTAAGTTTTTCCTTTTCTTTTTCTTCCTTTTGTTCCTACAGAAAAAAAAAAGTAAAATCAAAAGAAAATACATCGAGGCAAAGGCCTAGATAGTCCCTCAAGTATCAGGACATGAGTATCTTTGTCCCTTATTTATACTGCTATAAGTTCCTTCCGTTTCAATTTATGTGAACCCATTTGATTGTGGTGTAAAATGAAGCATATTTATTTTGTGTGATTATAAATAATTATATAAAGGTAAATTATTTTCAAATAGGGAAAAAGTTCATTCCACGCACTAAAAAAAAATGGATTCACGTAAATTCAAACATAAGACTAAAAGCAAAACTAAGGGTAAAAGTTCCCACAGCTTGCAGCAGCTGTTAAACTAAACGTAAATAGTGACTGATGATTCTTCTCATAATTCTTCCACTCCATCCCCAACTCATATCTCTCTAAAGCTATTATTAGAAGATGGGATTTTGATGGCTCCTCTAACAATTCTTATTGCAGAATGCCAAATTTTTTCCAAGATGGTCGGGCAGAGGCTAATAATGCAAATCTCCATGAAACTTGAAGCTTCTGAAAAACGCGATAATGACGATGTTGAAAGAGTCTCCGTGGTTGTAATATATAGCGAATCTAAAAACTCTTGCTGTTTGTATGATTGAACTGGGTAAGTAAAAGAGAGTGAAGATTTACAAACTCAATGGAAAATCAGTTACCGATCTAGAAGTCATTGTATTACATGGAAATTTGAAAATTTTAGCTCTTCACAGATTCAGACAATGGATTGGGAAGAAAACAAAAAAAAAATGGTTTTGTGCTTTAGTCGTTGCTGTTAATTAATACCTTCTTTTATGGGCGGGGACTTTCTGTGACCAAGCGACAATAGAGAATCCAGCAATGCAAAGAAGAAAGGTTTCTCTTGTGGTCGTTCTTTAGGTTTTAATTTAACAGTCGCCATTAGGTTTGAGACTTCTACCGTTAGTTTTACAAACACTGTTAAATGTTAGACTAAAGATGTCCACTTTGACAAACATAAAGGATAATATTTTATATTTAGTAGTATATATAAGGGATAAAAACAGTCCTAATTACTTAAGGGATTATCTTTTCTGTTTATGGCCCTAGACAGACCCTTACAACAAAGGAGTATACTAGAACTATAGAAATATGCCTAAATATTATAAGAGGAACTCATATCATATATAAAATCAATCGGCTGACAGAAACCTTAGTGAAACAATTGGTGAAATGGACTAACCCTAGTCTTGTCTACATAATTAAATGGTTACTTTCCACCAAAATTAACCTACCATTGTAGTTATATTTAGTGAAGACAATTAAAGAGTAAGAACAGGAATTAAAATCATGTACCTATTACACAGCGGAGTAAAATCACAACCCAGAAAAATTGCCCCTAAGTCCAACTTTGATTCTCTTGGAAAATAAAGTTTAGTTCCACAAACTAAATGCTTTTCTTTATGTGTATTTTACAAAAAAGAAGAGAAATCTTCTCTGTTAAGGAACAAGCGGATTATAATAGCGAAGGGAGAGTAATTCCTTTAGTTGTTCGTTCTTGTCCATCTAAAGAAGAAGACCAAATCAGTTTTTAAAGAGAAAGCAATTAACTGCTATTGAAAAACTGCTCTCAACTACACTTAAATGTATAGTATAACTTCTCCAAAGAAGTTATTTTACTTTTACCAAATTCTATCTCTCCCCAAATGGACTGGGTTAGCCCACATAGAGCGACCCGGCATCCGGATTCAATACGCAACATCTCCCACTTCTCTCATGATGGACTGAACTCAAATTAGTATCATGAATAAACAACACACTTAATTCATACAGACAAGTAGTCTGTGCGACCTCCGAGCATCAAGAGCTATAATATATTTCAAACCTATTAAGGATATTCTAAAGCTCTATAGAGAAATCTGATCACATTCGAGAAGGATTCACTAATAACATGAGGATCTTATTACTTGCTATACCCCAGACATCACTCGCCACTCCAATAGCTAATTATTCAATCCCTCATCCTCAAAAGAGGTGAACTCGAATTCATGTTTAACTTTGTATCCATAATTACATTTGATACCCTAATGGTAAGTGCAATGGTCGACCTATGAATGCAAGTTAAATTACTAAATTTTTAGTTGTCTTCCCTTTCTACTCGAAACTTTCCATTCCAAATCAACTACTTTCCTAGACATGCATTGCATTGTCGAATCACTCATGGCTCTTAGTGACATGCTAAAGTAGCAACACTGATTGGCACTTCAAGAGACAGTAGAAAGTCAAAGGGTATTCCAATAAAAGTTAACATAACTTTTTTGGGATCTCACACAATGAAGAAGCAGGGATTCATTCTTCCATTATCCCACTGGTCGATAGCACACGTGGTATGAAACACATATATTACGGTGTTCTCGCCTTATATTGGTGCATGTGTCTTATTCTTTTAATCATTCAACACAATATAGATCTTGGTCTAGACACCTTCAAATGTCTAAACCTAGTTTTTCACTTTAATAATCCTCAAATCTAACTTTTTGGAGAAACTCTCATCTGGCTTACAAAACAAGTCATAATTGAATGGTAAAATTCGTAAGTCTGACTAGTTATCAAGACCGATCTTTACAAGTAAATATAACCTCGAATTATCAAAGGTTCTATAAGGTCTCATCTCTTCACGATTTTGAACGTAAGAGGTGACTTCTCGTGTGAGAGAGCCAATCGCGTGACTTGTTGGGCACACTTTATCAACAAAACATCATCACATGCATACGAGATATAAGCATAAATTTAAGAGTCAAATATTTGATGAGCATATTATAATAATCAAGTTATTTTACAATATATAAATATGTTCATATCTTTTGCAAACCTAGAGCCATAACATGTTTCCAGATTTTGACTTTGTAAAGAGATCAGCTATCATGCTTCGCGTAGAAAATCTCTCCACTTACTACCATGTCTCTCACAAAGTTATACTTGATGTCAATGTGTTTGGTCTTATTATGATACTTAGGATCTTTTGTGTATGCAATAGCCGCTTGACTATCACAATATAGAGTCATGGGACCCTTTTGTGATATCCAAATGCTCAAAGAATCTCTTCAATCAAGCAGCTTCTTGTACTACAGGCGCACAAGCCTCGAACTCAGCTTCCATTGTCGAAAGGGCCGTACAAGTTTGTTTCTTACTTTCCCATGAAATAGCACCACAACTAAGTAAGAAAGCATAACCCGATGTTGACTTTTTATCATTCCGGTCACCAGCCCAATCAGCATCTGTATATCCTCTCAAGTATAAATCATTTGCACTATAACATAGTGAATAATCTGCAGTTCCCTTCAGGTATCTGAAAATTCCCTTCACAGCTTTCCAATGATCTCTTCCAGGATTGGATTAATACCTACTAACTAGACCTATAGCATAACAAATGTCCGGACGAGTACACATCATAGAGTACATCAAGCTCCCGAAAGCATTTGAACACAGAACTCGAGACATGTCTTCCTTTTCATTTTCAGTCTTGGGACACATTTCAAAGCTTAAAGTTTCACCTCTCACTATAGGAGTATCCATGGATTTGTAACTATACATGCGAAAATGTTCCAAAATTTTCTTTATGTAAGTTTCATGAAATAGACTCAATAACTTTTTGGAACGGTCACTTTTGATCTTTACTCTAAGGATATATTCTGCTTCACTCATATATTTCTTGTCAAATGACTTCGAAAGCCATGACTTGATAGATTTTAAATAATCCAAAGTGTTTTCGACCAATATAATATCGTCCACGTAAAGAGAAAGAATTAAAAACATCCTATTGGACTTCTTCACATAATTGATCATGGTGAAATCATACGAGATCACCTCCTTGTAAAATCTAAAATTCCATTGCCTTGAAGTTGCTTCAGGCTATAAATAGATGTTTTCAATTTACAGACCTTCTTT